GATGGGGGGGTCTTTTTTTGGGGGGGGGGGGTGTCCCCATGTCCCCCCTACCCCCTGGGCACGTGCCCCCCGCCCCCCAAAGAACCACACGGCACACGGCGGGTCCAAAAGGACACGTGTAATCTGGGGGGGGCCCCGTGTCCCCCCGGGGCCCCCCCGTCCCGCGCGGTACAAAACCCGACCATATAAATATCACTTTGTTAAAAAACAAAACCGGGGGTGCAGGGGGGGAGTTCCAGGGGGAGGAGGAACCAACCAAAAAAAAACCCCAAAATCAACAAAAACGCGAGGAAGGTCCCCGGGGGGGGACACACCCCGAATCAGTAGTGTGGTGTGGTGGGGAGAGGGGGGGGCTGTAGTTTTGGGGACCCCCCCTCTCACGGAGATGATGTAGGGGGGCCATACCCCAGTGCCCAAAGTGGGTAGAAAAGAGGAGGCTAAAAAAAAAAACCAAAAAAAGGGGGAAAACGCCCCAAAATGGGTCCCAATGGCGGGAGGGACCAGGATGAGCCCATGCACCCCCAAATCTCTGGGCTGACGGCCACCCCTCCCCTCTCCCCAAAATCTCTGCAAGCCAAGCCCGGCCAATGTGAGCCAAGCCGGGCCAAGATTCACCATCAGGTGCCGACCCAGGCCAAGCCAAGCCAAGCCCGGCCAACGTGAGCCAAGCCGGGCCAAGATTCACCATCAGGTGCCAACCCAGCCCAAGCCAAGCCAAGCCAAGCCAAGCCGAGGGGGGGGGCCCCGCCACGCCCAGGAAGGGGTGGCGCAGCAGCTCCGGGGCGCTCGCCCGCTGCGCCGGGTCCCGCACCAGCATCCGCTCCAGGAACCCCTTCAGGGATGGGGACACCTGGGGGGCACGGAAAGGGGGGGGTCAGACACCCCCTGGGGCTGCCCAGAAAGGGGGGGACTCCCCCTCCCCCCGCGTTACCTTGTGGCCGTTCTTGAGCCGGGGGGGAAGGTTGTCCCGGATCAGCTTCATGGCTTTGAGGGGGGGCTCGTTGAAATAAGGGGGTTCCCCATCCACCATCTCGATGACCATCACCCCCAGAGACCAGATGTCCACCTGTGGGGGGGGACAGGCACACCAGAAATGAGGAGGGGGTTAGGGGGGAGCCCCTCAAACCCACTCCGTGTCCCCCCTCCCATATATACAGCATCCAGAATGGGGGGGTCCGGAAGGGAGGCCACTTGGAGCCCCTCAAACATACCCTGGGAACCCCAAACCCACCCTGTTCTCCCTAAACCCACGCTGGGCACCCTCAAACCCATGCTGGGCACCCCTAAACCCATGCTGGGCCCCCCTAAACCCATGCTGGGCACCCCAAAACCCATTCCGAACCCACCCTGGGCACCCTCAAACCCACGCTGGGCACCCCTAAACCCATTCCAAACCCACCCTGGGCACCCCTAAACCCATTCCAAACCCACCCTGGGCACCCCTAAACCCATGCTGGGCACCCCTAAACCCATTCCAAACCCACCTAAACCCATGCTGGGCACCCCGAAACCCATTCCGAACCCACCCTGGGCACCCCTAAACCCATTCCAAACCCACGCTGGGCACCCCTAAACCCATGCTGGGCACCCCTAAACCCATGCTGGGCACCCCTAAACCCATGCTGGGCACCCCGAAACCCATTCCGAACCCACCCTGGGCACCCCTAAACCCATTCCAAACCCACGCTGGGCACCCCTAAACCCATGCTGGGCACCCCTAAACCCATGCTGGGCACCCC